GACAAGATCACTGACATCGGACTTCTAGCAGAATTAACCTTCTTTACAGTCCCTCCTAATCAAGTAGCCGTAGAAAAAATATATTATACGGAATGCAGACCCATCAGCTCCTTCGACTCCGAGGATGCTCCTATCGAAATTTCGGTACCCGGACAGGGAAACGAGCACATTGATTTAAGACGCAGTCGGCTTTATGTGAAATGTAAGATCATTAAATCGCACGGTACTGCTTTGGCCGCCCAGGAGAAAACCGGAATCATTAATGTACCTTTGCAATCAATGTGGTCACAGATTGACGTCTACATGAATGGAAAACTCGTTTCACTCAACACCAGTTACTATCCCTGGAAAGCTTACTTAAAGCTTCTTATGTCCAGTGGAGGCGATGCCACACAATCTCAGTTACAGTCCCAATTATATTATTTGGACGACGACGACATGGACAACCCCGACGCCTACGGTGGTTCTAACGGAGGACTAGCCAGCCGAAAGTACCTGCGCCCCATTGTGGCTGAATTTTACTGATTATTCTCAAGTATTCCTATGTGAAACTTGGAAACCCTATTGCTGTCCCACCCTACCCCACAGGGGTCATGATTTTAACAAAATTGAATGTACGCAGCATAAGGATGCTTTCATGCGAGTTTCATCTTTCCTGGTCCACTGGTTATTGAGACGATTTTTAGGTCACCTGAAAAACTGAGTCAACTGAGTAAACTATCCTTTTTAGTCCGTCGTCTTGCGTTGTGCGTTAACATTTGAACATTTTGAGCTTCTTCTCTGCAACCACTCATTCAAGCAAATTTGGCATAAAGCGTCTATGGGTAAAGGTGAACAAAAATTGTGAATTTTATTGTCCCTGCCCCCCCCCCCCCCCCCCGGGGTCTGATGGGTAGGGCCCAAATTATTAGAATTAACACTCTCTTTTTAAATCTTATTCGTTACTCCTGGACATCAAGCATCCAATCTTTTGGCATGATTGTAATCAGCATTAAGTCCTCTACCAAAATTAAATTCATGGCCCTGGGGTCAGCTGGGGTTCTAGTGCTGTGGTGGGGCAAAATAGATGATGTAGTAAAAATGCATTATTTCTATGAAAATCTTCTCTATACCTGGGCATTTAATAAACTAAAGAAGTTCATAGTTATGTTCAATAAGGGTGCCTCTTCCAAAATTGTGAATTTCATGGCCCCAGGGTCAGAGGTTCTTAGGTGCTAGGGCAGTGCTATATAAATTATATAGTGAAAATACATTATTTCTTTGAAAATCTTCTTCTTTGCACCTGGTATGTAATAAACATACCAAATGCATCGTACTGTTGAATAAGGCTGCCTCTTCCCAAATTGTGAATTTCATGGCCCCGGGGTCAGGGGTTTTGGTGTTAGGGTGGGACTCTATTAATCTTAAAGTGAAATGCATAGATTCTTTGTAAACCTCCTTCTCTGCTTCTGGGTATGAAATAAACTAACCAAGTACATAGTTATGATGAGCAATAATGTCTTTTCCAAAATTGTGAATTTCATGGCCCCTAGGTTGGGGGTTCTGGGGTTAGGGAGGATTTCTATTGATTACATAATGAAAATACATTATTTCTTAAAAAATTTTCTTCTCTGTTCCTGGGTATTAAATAAATTAAACAAGTACATAGTTATGTTGAATAAAAGTACCTATTCTAAAATAGTTAATTCCATAGCCTCAGGGTCAGGGTTTTGGTGTTAGGAAGGGGCTCTTAGTATTAAACCTATGTATATAGTTATGATGTTGAAGGATGCCTCTTCCAGATTTATGAATTTCATAGCCCCAGGGTGGGGCTCTATTGATTATATAGTGAAAATGCATGAATTCTTCAAAAAACTTTCCCTTTGCTCCTGGATATTATGCCAATGTCTTAAGTTCATATTAATGATGATGAAAGGTGCCTCTTCGAAAATGGTTAATTTCAGGGTATTTGGGTTGGACGTGGGGGTTACATGATCTAAAATTAATTAATGCTTTAAAATCTGCTTTTTTGGTATTAATCCACCATTTTTGATGAAATAAAATTTATGATAAAATTTCAAGAATTTTGAAACATGTACCCCCAGGGTCAGTGGTTCCTGTGGGGTGATGAGCACAACTTGTTATAAAGTGGAAATGCATTTTCTCCTTGTTACTCTTATCTACTTCTGGGTATTAAGTTACCAAAGTAAGCAAGCTAAATCTATAGTTATGATAAGCAATAGTATAGTGCTTCTTTCAAAATTTTGAATTTCATGGCGTTTAATTTGAAATACGAACCAATTCAATTGTTGGAAAGTTGTTATATGATACTCAGATGACCTATAAGGCCCATGGGCCTCTTGAATAAAGATTCCATTAATTAATCAATAATTCATAAGTATCTCCCCTTAGGAGAGGATTTGTCCTTTCACTTAAACAAAGTTGAATTCCCTTTACACAAGGATACTTTGTGGCAAGTTTTGTTGAAATTAGCCCAGTGGTTCTGTAGAATATGAAAATTTGAAAAGTTTGACAAACATCATACAAATTTCGATCAGAAAAGCCTTTGGCTCAGGTGAGCTAAAAGCAGGTGGATTCCTGTCCCAGATTGCGCTGCCCTTACATCTACCTCAGTACATCAGGGAGAGGTCTTCTAGGTGGTGGTCTCTCTGTCCCAGATGGCGCTGCCTCTTCATCTGCAGCAGGGCGAATCTAGAAGATTGTGCCCCCCTTCCCCCATCTTCATCTTGTCGCTGATTGCTTAATTGAACATTTCTATAAGACTCTGAAACTTGATATTGATATATTGAAAATTGATATTCCAATAAGATATATATATTTGCCAAGATTTGGAGGGAGGGGGGTGGCATTCGCCTCCCCCGCACCCGGTTCCGACGACTAAGTGAACATAAATAGTTTGATTAATTAGAAAAATTAGGTATTGACCTTTCTTTTTTTTCTTTGGGGTATTCTTTCGTGCCGTACCTTGATTCATTTCCTTTTCTGGACATTACGAGAGATCTTAATTCTTTATCTACAATTAACTCCGCATTATTGTGTTTCTAGACCTGGTCCGCCATTCTTCTTTTAATTTTCTCGTAAGACGTCTCTCTGTACAAAAGTTGAACCTTGGCTGGTATTTTTTCCTGTACAGCAGCTTAACCAGCAGATTGGTCCAGGACAACAACTAGATTTCAAACTTTTATGGCGCAGTTGATACCAGTGCTTGCAGAAGCTATCAAACCCTCTATCGAGCTAGCAGTCCAGTTTGTTTTCAGCTCATTAAATAAAACAGTTCAGAACCAAGCTAAAACAATTTCAAAACAAAATAAACAAATTGTTGATCTCACAGGGCGTTTAAAAATTATGAAGAACAAAACACTGATCTACAAAATCAAATCTGGAATATCTTAATGATACAGTAGATGGCCTAGACTAGGGCAGTACGGAAGGAGAAACTTCTTAAGATTTCATAATATCCCGGTTCCCGACCATGGCACAGACACGGATGCTAGAATTATTTCTATATACAATCAGCACTTATCAATAGAGCTCAAAGAGGATGACAATTATTACATTTACTTTTATTGTTTTTAAACAAAGCTTCTGTCACTATGCGTTATGTTTTGCCTAGTGACACATAGGTGTCATTTTCCTCAAGCTTGTTCACAATTTTTATTTTGTTTCCTTCATTATTGTTCTGTTCTTTTTTTTTTTTTGAACTTCTTTCTACCCAAACTTTTTTTCAATTTTTTTTCTTTTCAATTTTTAACCAAAGGTCATACAAACAAATTTGCATGTTTACTTATTGTCTCCTTGTGGCTGGTTCAAATATTGCTCAATACGTCTCTTTATGTCTTGGAAATGGCTAATACAATAGAACAATATCGAGCCGCAATCGGACTTTTCTATTGTAAATGTAGATGTACATCAAAAGCACTGCTATTCTATGTGCTACGATTTAAGGATTTGGTTTATTTTTGTCTGAGTGTCTTAATTATATTTGGTTCAATGCTATTTTTAGAATGATTAACTTACGTATTGTAGACACTCATGCTCTGTTATGGGGAGATAATTCGATCAGTATTTCTCATATGAAAGTTTATTTTTAAACGTGCAATTGTTTATCAAGAGATCTGGTCGTTTTTGAATGTATTTTGATTCGTTTGTACATACACCATTTTAAATTCTGTACACGCATTACCTATATTAAATAATCTTATTGACCTTTGTTTCCAGTGTATATTACATTTTTGAACAATACTTTGTGTAACTAATTGTTATAAAGGAGAGGACGTTTTAAGTATTAAGTACTTGTGTCCAATCCTTTTGTTGTAACATCTTAATTTTAAGGTCCGGATGTTTATTATCAATTTTGGCCATCTCTGAGGGGTTTAGTCCGAACTTGTCACGATTAAATTCTGATACGGTCATGTTTTCAAACTATTTATGAAGATCTTCTATGAGACACGCCTCTACTGTAGCCTCGATTTCTTTAATTTCGCTGGGAGGCACACCTGCGATATGCCATTCCTTTAAATATGTTCAAACCAATTAGATTGCAAGCCGAATGTTGTATTATATCTGATGGAATTTATCTAAACGAACGTCCATTGGTAACTCCATATAAATCGGTGGACATTAATCGGAGAGCACCTAATGAGCAGCGCAGGCGCCGAAAGTTTAATTTGCTAGACTCGGTAATCATCTTAATTACCCTTGCTGGGACCCCTTCGCTCGTTTAAACGGTCAATGAAATATATTTCTTTTCGTTTTTTAAAAAGTAAAAGATGTGTGCCTCACAGTGGATTTGAACCGGGGTCTTTGGGTTGAGGGGCTAACGCTTAATACACTAGACCAGTAATGCTTGCAAGTTCGGGGTATTTAAATTCTCTTTTATGTTGGTATTTTTAAATGGCACTATTTTGTTTATCGCAGTAACTTGCAGGTATTTGGTTTTAGGGTATTTAAATCTTGGAATCGGGTACTGTAATCACTCGACAAAAGTTAGCCAACGACTTTCCTGATGTCTGACTCTGAAGAATCTCACCTATCTCCACGTGCAAATGTAGACTGTCAGCCTGCACGAGGTTCTTCAGGAGGGCCGGGGCCAATTAGAAATGCTGACTTATCAAATGTTGAAGCCCACCAATTGTTCGCTTACAAACTGGATTCAGCCTTAGCAGAAAATAAGAAGACCATATTACAAGAATTGGATTCCAGGACAGCTTCGACTTTACCAGATAAGAATCTTGACTTTAAGTTGGCACATCATAAAGAGAGATTTTTGTTTCTATCAGAATTGCAATCTAATTTCGAAAGTATTCATAAATTTGTTGAACGTGGTGAATTTTCTGGTATAGAAAAGTTGATTACAGATTCTGTAAGCAAAATTAAAGAACAGAAAAAGGTCATACGCATTGCTGACAAATATGGTTGGGACGTGGCTAGAGAATATAAGGATGATCCGATTACTGACAATTCGGAAGATAATCAACGTTTGCGTCAGGCTGAGCAGAGGGCAAAGCGTAAAAGGTTTGATAACAGCAACTACAATAACTACAATAATCCTTTTCGCAGCTATCGCAGCAAATTTCAACCTTCTAGATTCTCTCCCTACCAAAGGAATTTCAACTCTATCGGAGCACAACCTTCCCTTTTCAAAGTCCAGCCAGATCAGTGCCTATACTGCAACGCATTCGGTCACTGGAGTGTTAACTGCCCCCTTAAACGAAGGACACAGGGAATCTCAAAACCTACAGCCACACAAACAACTCCAAGCGCCACGTCAGACAGACTGTAATATGGTATGCAATTTTTTGTGTCCTGATAATACCAAAGATATTATTGTTAAAGGCAATTTAGCTAATAACATTGGTTTTTGGAAAAATTGTTTAAGTGCTGACAAATTTATTGTGGATATTTTAACTTACGGTTATTCTATTCCTTTTGAATGTGTCCCTAAGCCTATTATTTTGTGTAATAATAAGTCTGCTTCTGAAAATGAGAATTTTGTCGAGCACGAAATTTATTCTCTTTTAAGCAAAGGTATTATCATGAAATGCAACTCTCCTCCTACTGTCGTAAATCCTTTGTCTGTATCACAAAATTCTCAAGGTAAGAAAAGACTTATCTTAGATTTACGTCATGTTAACAAGTGTGTGCGCAAAGACAAATTTAAAATAGAAGGTGTCAAACATGCAATACAGTACTGTAAGGTCAATGATTTCATGTTTAAATTTGATTTGAAAAGTGGGTACCATCATTTAGACATAAACCCATTTCATGTTCAATATTTGGGGTTTCGTTGGAAAGATTGCTACTACTGTTTTACTGTTTTACCTTTTGGCCTTAGCTCTTCTCCATACATTTTTACTCAACTGCTGAAGCCTTTAGTTAAACATTGGAGAGAAAAGGGGTATAGAATAGTAGTGTATTTAGACGACGGGTTCGGTCTTGCATCTAGTTATCAGTCTTGTCTTCATATGGCAAATGCTGTTAAACTAGATTTGAGTATGGCAGGTTTTGTAGCAAACGAAGAAAAGAGTATTTGGGAACCTCATACTTCTCTTGAATGGCTTGGTTTTATTTGGGATACGTCTCAAGGTACTCTGTCTATACCTTCGCATAAAATCGATGAGATTTTAGACAAAATTAAAAACATTGTGTCAAAACCTGCTGATCTCACTCCCAGAGTATTATCAAGTATTGCAGGTACTATCATTTCTTTTCAGCAAAGTTTAGGCAATATTTGTTCGCTAATGACAAGAGTTATGCACATGATTATTGCTAATTCTATTTCTTGGGATAATACTATTTGTATGACAGAAGAAATTAGAAATGAATTGATTTTTTGGTTGCATAATTTAGATTATTTACCCTCTAAATGTTTTTTCAACAATGCTTTTATCCCACAAAGGATTGTGTATACAGATGCAAGCAAATTTGCTGGAGCCGGTTATTCTGTGGAGTGCGCGGATAGTATCGTTCATAAAATGTGGACTTCAGAAGAGATTTTTCAAAGTTCTACTTGGAGGGAAATGAAGGCTGTGGAAACGACTATTGAATCCTTGCTTAGTAAGCTAAGTAACAGAACTGTTAACTTGTACACAGACAATCAAAATGTTGTTAAAATTGTTAACTCGGGTAGCATGAAGAAAAGTTTACATGACATTGCTATGAAAATATTTGCATTGTGCATTCAGAATCAGATTTCCTTAGAGGTTGTGTGGATACCAAGATCGGAAAATGAGCTTGCTGACTATTATAGCAAAATATTTGATTATGATGATTGGTCCATTTCAGATACAGTTTTTCAATTCTTTAACAGCAAATGGGGACCTTACAACGTAGATTTATTTGCAGACTGTAATAATTTTAAAGTCAAAAAATTTTTCAGCAAATTCTGGACACCTGGTACTTCTGGAGTCGACGCTTTAGCTTTTAATTGGAGGGATTTCAACGCCTGGATTGTTCCTCCGGTTTGTTTGGTACCAGCTGTAATTAATCATATGTTTCTTTGCAGAGCTAAGGGCACCCTTGTCGTTCCTAAGTGGACTTCGTCTCATTGGCCCTTTCTAGTTGATAATAATGGACAATTTAAATCATTTGTGGTTGATCATTATGAATATGTTAAACCCAGAAATTTTTTCTTAGCAGGTTCTGATAGTAAGGGCATTTTTGCACAACCTAAATTTTTGTCTAATGTATTGGTGTTGAATATGAATTGCGGCTGATTATATGTATGAAGATTTAAGTTTTTGGTGTCGGTTTTACTTATTAATTGTTAAAAAAAAAATAATAATAATAATAATAAAAAAGGTCTGTTATGTTATATATATATGATCTAGTTGTTTCATTTACAGAATTGAACTATTCTAGCTCGTAAGAGAAGTAACTAAGATTGTGCATTTGTGATTCTAGTGGGTTGGAAACTAAGTATAATGTGAAATGTGATCAAAGGCTAGGAGCCGCCTGAGTCGTGATGCTATGCTGAGAGCTTTTTGAACTGTGCGGTAAGGCTGAGAGCCATTCAAGCGTGAGTACAGGCTGAGAGCCATCCGAATTACTTAAGGCTGGGGGCTACCAGATCTGTGAGATAAATCTATTATAGAGACTTGTACTGTGTTGACTGTTAAGTACTTATTTGATAGTTGATTGACTCTAAAGTTACAGTGTATGCATTTGTTTTTGTTTCTATATTGGCATGTTTTCTTTTGTCGATACGGTAACATTGTTGTCAGTTTTTTGTTGCAATCAATTAAATGCTTAATTTGATGTTTTTGATCGTTTTTTCAGTCATTGCCACATCCACACTGGGACGAACTTTCTAGACATAGGGATGGACCTATTGCCTTGTTGGCCAATCAGATTCCTAGTTTAATAGAGGCGTCAAAATCTAGTTCCACGTTGCGTAAATATCAAACTTACTTCTCAAAATTTCAAAAATGGTGTACTGTTCATGAATTGCAATATTTGCCAGCATCACCTGCTACGGTTTCGTTATATATATCCTATTTGGTGCAAACGAATTCATAATCTTCTGTTTTGAGTGCTTCTTTGTATGCCATTCAGTGGTATCATGACAAAAACTTATTTTCAAATCCGTGTAGTGAAAAAATTGTGAAATTAACTGCGGAAGGTGGGAAACGCATTTTGGCTAAACCTTGTGTTAACAAAAAGGAACCCTTAACTGTTGAGATCATTGGGAAAATTTTTAAATTCAAAGAATGACCCAAATAATTTATGTCATTTGCGAACCAGACTTTTATGTGTTCTAGGGTATGCTGGATTTTTTCGAGCAAGTGAATTATGTAATATTAAAAGATCGGATATAAGTTTTCATGATGATTATGTCGAAGTCATTATCAGGAAGTCAAAGACAGATTTATACAGGAGAGGTAACTCTGTGCATATTGCAAGAACTCATTCTCCTTTTTGTCCAGTTGAATGTTTAAAAGATTATCTTCGACTGGCTGATATTAAAAGGGATTCGGATGAATTTATTTTAAGATCTGTTCGTTTTTTCAAGAAAAGCAATTCTTATAAATTGTGTGTTATAAATAAACATTTGTCGTATACTTCCATGAGAGAGATTTTTTTAAGAGCACTGTCAGAAGTTGGAGTAGATAGCACAAAGTTTGGACTGCACTCTCTTAGATCGGGAGGAGCTACAGCAGCAGCTAACCTTGACATTCCAGACAGATTGTTTAAGGCACATGGCAGATGGAGGAGTGAGTCCGCCAAAGATGGTTATGTTAAAGATAATATTGATAATATTCTTTCTGTATCAAAAAATCTTGGTTTGTAATTTATTGCAACTTTAATTTATTATAATAAATCTTTACACATGTTCCAGTCACCCGACGTTTGTTTTCGAAATGGCTAACTATGTCTTACCCTATATTCTGTGTTTGTTTTATTTAAATTAGAACAGGAAATGATTTATGTTCGGATGAGCGAAGCGAAGGAGAACATAAATATATTTCTTTTCGTTTTTTAAAAAGTAAAAGATGTGTGCCTCACTGTGGATTTGAACCGGGGTCTTTGGGTTGAGGGGCTAACGCTTAATACACTAGACCAGTAATGCTTGCAAGTTCGGGGTATTTAAATTCTCTTTTATGTTGGTATTTTTAAATGGCACTATTTTGTTTATCGCAGTAACTTGCAGGTATTTGGTTTTAGGGTATTTAAATCTTGGAATCGGGTATTGTAATCACTCGACAAAAGTTAGCCAACGACTTTCAAGTTTATTTTCTTTTGTTAAATTCTTTTTTTTTTTTGCTGCTTCAATTTTTAGATGTATTTTTCAGATATTGCATGAAAGTTTTTCTTGAATTTTGCCACTTAACCTCTCTCAATCAGGATGTTACCGTTTGCACCCATCAACAGCGGACTTTGGGAACGTTTTCCGTTAGGAATCTTCCAACATTGACTCATTTGGATGCTGATCTTGCCCTCCTACGGACGCGAATATCTTTGTACAACTTTGGCTTTAATAAATGGCTAACTATGTCTTATCCTATACTCTGTGTTTGTTTTATTTAAATTAGAACAGGAAATGATTTATGTTCGGATGAGCGAAGCGAAGGAGAACATAAATGTATTGTAGTGTCACGTTAGCGACTGCGATTCGAAGAGAAGTGGTTTTCGGGTATCTTATAGGGATATTTTCTATAAAAAACCCCACTGAGGCCAAAATAAAAAATACCTTTGTTTCCCCTAACGCGACCGACCCAACTAAAACGCGCCGACTGAAAAGATTTTTTTAAATAACATGAGTAAAAATTTTTTTTATTGTCAACCAAGTTTCATAAAATACAATTTCATCAAAATCAGTATTTATCAGAATGGCTGACATCGTTCTACTGTGATTTTCAAGCATTTGATGGAAACAAAATAGCGCCCAAATGTGATTACATAGAAGTAGTTCTTTACAAAACAACGGCGATGTCTCAATCTTATGCCTTTAGCTAACTAGAATTCTTCACTCTTGAAACAATTTGATAATAAAATTTACCATGACTAATTAAGAGGTGTCTTGGCGTCTCCATGTGAGTGAATAAATTTTCGAAAGATGGGGACAATAAACAACGAACAAACAAATCTGTCTGTTGAATTTCAGGTACATGGAAAGGCCAACCTCATGAGCAAATGAGGGGCCCACCTAGTGAACACATCATTCAATTTTACTGCATTTTATTTAATTTGAGTTTTGATCTAATAACCAATTCATATATGGTCCTATGTTTACTAAATGCCATTATGGAATCATAGGAGTTTTTGTAAATATGTCTTCATATTCATAGATATAATTCAGTTGTACTTTTTCATGCCTTTATTTACGGGTTAAACTTCAAGACTATGACATTGTTTTATATAGCATTTTTATCATTTGTAGATTTTAATATTGTTTAAATACCCTTTCCAAATAGTTTTGAAATCATAATTCAGCT